GTACGGGTATATATACGCACTTTTCATGGTTTGTGCATATGTATGTCACTATTGGCTATAGGGTTCAAGTGCTCGTAAATGATTTAAATGTGATTAAAAAATGTAGCAACGATAACGAAGCAAAGCTTTGTGATTAGATTGTTGCTAACACACTCGCATAAACAAATCGGCTGATTTTGGCATATATCACTACGAATTATAAGTACATACATTACTTTATTGTTATTATTCAATTGTGGCTTCAGGTTTTTCTTAAAGCTTAAGTTTTTCCCCGACAGTTTTGCAATGATTGTTATTTAATAAAGGCTAGCCGAATTTAAAAATGTACACACATGCACACCTGGACTGAATAATAGGTGTGGGCATATTTCTTATACTCTGTACATAAAATGTACAAGAGTTTATTATGTTTACAGGAGGTGAAAAATGTAGGCGTGGCAGACCCTACAAAGTATATGTTCTTGATCAGCATGACAAGCATGCGGGCAGAGCTCCGGCAAAGAGAATATTTCTGGCTATAATTTTCTTCATAATTAACCTATTGTAATGAAACTTGGCATACGGACTCATCACGGATATATTTGTCAAATCTGAGTACAAGATTACTGGAGTTGTGGAAAAACACGAATTGCGGGAGAGTGCGGGGGTGGATCAAAAAAAAATCAAACTCGTACTTTCTCGGTTGGAGTATACGAAATTAGCAAATACAGCAAAAGATCTTTGCTTTAAAATATTTTCTTACGTGAGGATTCCAAATGGAGTCATAACACAAAATAAAGGTCAAACTGTCTTGTAAGCCTTCCCATTCTGTCTCGGTCTTAATCTCAAAAGGACATTTTATTTGCAGACAATTGTACAATTAAATTATGGTTTAGACATAATACATACTATCTGAAATCAACAAATACAGCAAAAGATCTTTGCATCATAATATTAAAATATTTTCTTACATGTAGACAGGCGGGCAACCTATTATGGTTTTGCTTGTAATCCATACTAAGTAGGTTGCTTGCTTGACTTCAAGTATGAAACAACAACAACTGAGCAGCAAAGCATGGGCAGACAATACAGTATTGCTAAAACTTCCTTTAGTTATGAGAAGTCATTCAATATAAAACAAATAGGGAAGCTGAAGTCATGGTCATGGCACTATTGACTGGCATATCGGAGTCATAACACAAAATAAAGGTCCAATTGTCTTGAAAGTCTTCCCATTCTGTCTCGGTCTTGATCTTGAAAGGACATCTTATTTGCAGACAAGTCCACAATTAAATTATGGTTTAGACATAATACATATATAATATCCGATATTAAAATATTTTCTTACGTGTAGTTGAGCGAGCAGGCTGTTATGGTTTTGCTTGTAATCCATAGTAGATTGCTCGCTTTACTTCAAGTATGAAACAACAACAACAACAAGTGAGGAACTAAGAACTTGGACAGACATTACATTATTGCTAAAACTTCCTTTACAAGTAGTTATGAAAAACTAAAACTCAAACTCGTGCTTTCTCGGACTTGGGAGAATCTGGATACCAAGTTCGGTTGTTCTAAGCTTTATACTTTCTGCGCTCATACAGATAGACGGACATGGCTATATCGACTCGTCTTGTCACCCTCATCAAAAATACATCTACTTTGTGGGGTCTGCCACTCCTCCTTCTGTGTGTTATATACACATTCGCACAAAACTTGTATACCCTTTTACCATTTGGGTACAAGCTATAAAAAATTAGGAAAATGTACTTCCCTTGGTATTCGAACTCACGTAAAGAGTGTATATTTGTACATTTACACAGGAATTGTGTCAATGTGGGTGTATGCATGTCTATGCGAGTCTATTCGTGTCTATGTCAGAATGTATGTAGTATAAAGTTGAACCAAAGCAGCAACAATAACAACAGCTGTGGGCAGCGCTTTGGCAGAGAGAACATACATATATGGCTATAACTTCCTTTAAAATCGGCCTATCATACGGAATCTTAATCGCCACCTTAAAGTATTTGCCAAATTAGAGTCCAAAATTTTAGAATTACGGGAGTTATGGAATATAGCTAATTGAGTTTGAGAGGGGGGAGGGAAATTCAAAATTACAATTTTTCTGCGTATTCATATAATGAATTTTGCACTAATATTTGGTGTCTCTAGGTCTTATAGTCTTCGAGATATAGGTGATTATACGAACGGTGTTGCCGAAAATCGAACTCAATAGCTCCATATCGGCACACCCGGAAAGTAAAAGACCCCATCAGCTCTATATTACGGATACATTTAGAACCAGCTCTCGTAAGAGATATCGCTGATTTTACTCTTAAACAACTAAAAGTGGCTTTCTGGAAGTCAAACATAAGTCGAATTCCGAAGACGCACTTCCAACCCCAAAAACAATCAAACAACCATAAATACTGAAATATGCATCTTTCCCTACTCTAACTCAAGATCATGCTTACATAGACTGATTACTGGAACTGCTCCGGTGGAGCAATTGTCATGACATTTATGCTGCATGTTGGTATCCAACCATCTAGTCACTTATGGATGAGGCCATCAGAAAACGCCCTATTCCAAAAGGCATGTTTATTTTGGGACGTACATTGTAGTACACTGATTCCGATCAAAATTCTGGTTATCCGCTTCACCATAAATATTAAAAAACCTTTAAATACTAAATTTGGTTGTGATATCGAAAAATGGCTTAATATATATACATATATATTATTACGTTTATTGTTTTTGTTATTATTAATGAAATACAAGATATTTTAGATCTGGACGAGTAAGTCAACGATTTTTACCTATGTTTCATACTACTTAGCTTGTTAACTTGACACACACTACTTGACAAGTGCAGAAAACATAATTGTACAAATAATACTAATACATATAGTAAATAAAATAAACGGACAGAACCTTTTTGAAGAAGCTTGTGTGAGCCTTACATTAAATAATACTCTTTCAGTATTTCATTTGTTTTCTATAGTTTGTACTTGTACGTTCATAATCAAAAAGTTTTTAATTCAAACAATTTTGGTCAACCCTGATCGTTATTTTTATACCCTGTACTCGTAGGGTAAAAATGGTATATTAGGTTTGTGCAAAGTACGTAACATGCAGAAGGAAGCATCTCCGACCCCATAAAGTATATATATTCTGAATCAGCATGACGAGAGAATTTGATCTAGGCATGTCCGTCCGTCCGTCTGGATGAACGCAAGGATCTCAGAAACTATAAAAGCTAGAATAACCAAAGTTGGTATCTAGATTCTCCTAGGTCCGAGAAAGGACGAGTTTATTTTTTGTTTTTTTTTAATTTTCCCTCCCTTCCCCCGTCACATAATTTCGTCAATAGCGTCCACATTTCAAATGCTACCTAAACCAAACTGCACACATAATTTATTTATAATTATCTACTGTTGTTTAAAATTTTATTCAATTCGGTCAATTCTCAGAAAAGTTATTAGCAAAACAAATTCTCTCCAGTGCAACCCCCACCAAACTGCAGCAACTAGTTCGCTCTTCTTCTTCCTCTTTTTGCTTCTGCTATGGGCGCATATACCTCAGAGTCGGAAGTTTACCTGGGTACAGGGTATTACTCTGTCGGGCTTGCTCGACTGTAGCGTTCACTCTTGTTATATGCATAAGTGGTACAAGTAGGTGATTAAGTTTAAATCCAGGATATTTCGTTTAGTCTCACAAGATTAGAAGGTCAGATAAGAAGGAAGATAAATGATCAGTATGATGAGTCGAATTGTTTGTCGCTTCTATGAGAACTAGTTTTCCCCATAGGCGTCTAATTTGCGGAAGCATATCAAAGCTAAGATACTAGTTTGCGTGAACCTATAAACAAAAATCAGACTTAATGCAATATTAAATACTAATTTCTAGGTTATACTCGTAGAACAAAGGTATTTACTCAGTTTCTGGCTTCAATATAATACGAAGTTGTATGAAAAAAAATATTCCCAATGAATCAATTAGTTTCCGATTCATTTCAAGATCAAGAAGACCTCCAATTTATCTAAGAGAAACTATGCCTTCAATTCCGAATATTTGTGATTTATTTTATTTAAAATGTAATTTCGCTTGAAATGTTCTAATTAAAAAATATTTGTATGCCCATTGGCTCCTTTAGCGTACTTGCTATGACAGTTATGAGATATACAAATTTATACTCCAAAATGCTCCAAATTACTTACTAAGTCCTGAAATGAAATACAAGTATGCTTTGGAAATGGAAAAAATCGTGTCCATTATCTTGTGAATAACGATTATGCATAGTCCGCATTGTGGCTGTGCCAAGTCAAACTGGGCAATGGACATTTTGAAGTAGACTATCTTCAGTGGGTCTATATCGCTGCAAAAGATTATGGTGTTTTTTTTTGCGTAATCTGCCTGTAGATAGATAGATTTATGCGATGATGGTCAGTCATACACAGGAAACGAACTAACAATATGAGATTCCTGTTAGCTCCTTGAGCTATGCCAGGCCCATTGAATTTCTCAAGCTAATAAAACAAAGCTAACCAGGAAGCGTCCTCAAATGTTCATTTTAGAAACAAATATCAAAGAATGTGTTATATGGAATAAGAAAGCGGGATGGAAAGTTTTTATCCAAGGGGGGATTTTGTTTTTTGAGTTTCTCTTCAGAACCTCTTTTATTAATTCTCGCATAAAGTACATATATTTTAAAATTTGAGATAAATACGTGACTAATTAAGGATTTTGCGAATAGAGGGCTTAATCATGTCACATTTGAGAATAATTTAACGAATAGTTTAAGGTACAGTCATATTACTTGTGAAGGAAGAATACAATATAGGAGCGGTAAAAGATAAAAAATGAATGCCATGCCGCACCTAAGGCTGCGTCAACCTCAGGATATAAAGAAAGCAATAAAAATGAAAAAAGTTGTTCATTTATTAGCTAAGTCATGATTAATATGTATGTATGTAAAGTATAAATGTAGTATGTGCATTGTTGTATTTATGTATAAGACTTACGTTGACCAAACTAACGCCGAAACATGCAACCCATCCCCAGCCACCGTCAGGAGCTACTTTTTTCGGTGGTTTTGTTGTCATTATGTTGTTGTTATTGCTGTTGTTCTGTGTCCGGTTCTTGTTGTTTGTGTAATTTTTCGGAGGGTCCCCTGTTTGTTGTTGCTCCGCTCTATTTCTGGGTTGTTCGGGGTTATAGCAGCTTTGCTTTAGCGAAATCCCTTTGTTGGCCTTTTTTTGTTGCGTCTTCGATGTCTGCTTTGGTCTCTGCTTTGAATTTCAGGTGTATCGTTGCTGTCTGCTTTTATATAAGCAAGTATGTATTTATCTGTACATATATATGTTTGTAAGTATCTGCAGGCATACAAAGCTAGCCATGTGACTGGTGTGTTTCTCTTCTTTCTTTTCAATAGTCGTACATAAATGTGTATATTGCGTATAGATATTTATTACGTTTAGTTTGGGTCTTGCTATATACTCTTATTTTCGCATTTGTTTTGATTTTTGGTAGCTACTTGTTTATTTATTGTTTGCGTTGTATTACCAATTTTCCGTTTGTTTTTGGTCAGATTTGACTGAATACAAGGTGGCGTTGCATATTGTATGAATGTTATTGTACTGATACTGCGTACATATATGTACATACATGTGTATGTATGTATAATAGTATATTGTATATTCTTCTGTTTTTTGTCGCAAAAACACGTAACATAAAAAAAAAAACACTTGAAAAAAAAGAGGGAACAAATTGGGTGTGTGTTCCTCAAAAGAGTTCTTCGCGTATTAGACTCATGCCAAATGGCATTCACTTTTTAGATTTCTTATTTTTGTAGCTGTTGATTTAATTTTTGCGGGTTTATCTAGAAGTAAGCAGAAATTGTTCAATTTAATTTTTTGGGTGTTTTATCGATTTATTGGTTTTTCAATTTGTATTTTTTTAATCTTGCTATTTTTATTTATTATTTAAATTGTATATTTTAAAGAAATTATTTCAGGAACTAAAATCCGACTATATCGATATCAGTTTTTTAATTCACTTTGATGAGCTCTGCTCTATGTACATATGTACATATGAATTTGTTCCGGTATTCAATTTGTTCTTATTATAATTTTGGTGTCGTTCACATGTATATAGACGCCCCAACAATCAAAGTCATTGACTTACATATGCATACATGTACATGCATGTATGTATATCCAAAAAGGCTTTGTGTTGCTAATGTTTTCAATATTGTTTATCAGCTGTTTTTTTTTTGTATTTGTCTGTATGTATGTAAACCATTGATGGTGATTTACAGTTTTGCTTTTCTCTTTATCAAACCAAAAATATATTTTTAAGAACTAAACTGAGTTCGGAGATTGAACCCATTCTTAAACATCTGCTTCTGTTCTGATCTTTTTCTATTTACCTATAAAAAACCAATATTTTTTAAGTGTTTCCGAATGTTTTATTTTCAAGGCACGTTCGCAACCATAGACAAAGTAAAAACCACGCAAATTTTGTCTAGGTTGGGCATTATATATAAGTATATACGTATATATATATTTTTTTTAATTTTGTAAATTTGCTCCAGCTGTTTTTACTGCCTGCCTGTCTTATGACTCTCGCGCGCTCTCAACGCCGTCGTTTCTCTCCGCGTGGTCTTTGTGTTTGTTAGCGTGGTCGATATTTCCCCCGCTATTTATTGGGTTTAGGCCCGCTTTAATTCGAAGAGCTGTGCGCGACTGTTCAATCGATACTAACTGCTGCCTCGCTGCCTGGTTGGCTCTCGGCTCGCACACTGACGCTGACTGCTGCGTCGTCGTTAAGCACCAACACAATGAACGTTTATGTACTGCGTTTGTGTGTGTGCGCGAGAGTTTGTGCGCCTGCCAAGCAAGATCGTTGCCATTAGCACGCGGGCGTCTGAGCGCATTAGAGAGCAGAAGTCGCCGACAATCTCATGCCGCTCAAAAAATATTTACTGTGCCTGGTTGCCTGCATATGCGTATACATTGTGTGGAGTAGTTGCCAAAAGTAAGAACGAAGCAACATACATATATGTATGTACATACATACATATATGTGGCATAGAACAAAAACACGGTTATGGTCAATTGCCACGGTCTGTATGCCCTACTATGTTCGTACTATGTTTATTTTGTTAGAAAATATTTGTTGTTTTTGTTTTGCGTTTTTGCTTAGCATTTCGTTATGCCCACGACTGATCCAATAACCGTCACGTACAACTAAATTCCCAATGTGCAAAAAGAAAAAGTTCCATCTCGATAACCCTAAAACTGTGTCAGACAGAACGTTATGCGACTTCGACTCGTCTCATAATGCTGAACTTATAAATATGTATGTAATATATGTAGAGATGTATGTATGTGCGTACTTATGTGCCTACATATGTATATGTATGTACATCTATAGTCAATCTTTAATCAAAACAAAGAGACATACCCTTACCCTTACATTTTTAAGTGCAGTATATAAAAATTAACAACGACAACAGGCAACCTAGACACCTAGCCTTTCTTCTGGCTAATTGCGTTGTTTTGGTCAGCGCTACGCGTTTCTTTGTTTGTATTCTTTGTCTTGGTCATGGGTGGTGCAACGTCAACGATGGTGTTTACTACGTCATTGGAGTTGCATTTTGAAAGTCATCTTGCAAAGGTGCACTACTTTGAGTTCCTTCATTCTTGCTTCCGTTCGTTGCCTTGCAGTTAGTCCCTGTCGTGCGAAATGTTCGCTCTCATACTCTCCCTCCCTCTCTTTGTACAATGCAAATGCTAACTTGTTGCATTTTTTACTTGCAATTGACATACACAAAGATATGTGAACTTGTATGTATGTATATGTATGCATGCATGCATAAATGTGTAAGGCGAAGAGAGTCGTTGGCGTTGCCAGATGATGTTTGTTTCTTTTTTCAACGTTTACTTTTATACTGCTATAATCCTGTAGCACCAACACCAAAAAATAACATACGAAACCTGTATATGAATATATGTATGCACAATCTGCTTCTTTTTTTTTTTTAATATATGTATGTTAGTATGTGCTATGCATATATCTAAACATAGACACATAGATACATACATGCATACATATACATATACATTATGTTTGGGCAAAGTATGTAACAGGCAGAAGGAAGCAGCTCCGACCCCATCAAAAAATATATATTCTTGATCTGCATGACAAGACGTGTCCGTTTGTCCGCCTGTCTAGATGTACACCTGAATTTCAGAGACGACTGAACCCGCATTCACCAAAATTGGCATTTATTTATTGGGCACATGTAATTCAGAGCTCAGGACGTTTCTCTGTCGGGTTTACTGTAGCGTTCTTTCTTGTTTTTATATTGTTGTGGAACCTAACTTGGCAATGAAATTTCGTGCCATTCGAATTTCTCGAGGAAAAGCTACCATGCTCTGATGAAGTAGTATGCAAAGTTTCATAAATATTTCAATAATTTACGCGTAGCTTTGTAGATATGCTTTGTAGACACTATGTTTCTAAAACAACTTTAATGATCAGGATGAGTTCTTGATCAAAATAACATGACGAGCCGAGGTAGCCTTGTCCGTTTGTGTGAGCGCAAGGATCACTGCAAGAACAAGAGTTAAAATAACTAAACTTGGTATACAGGTTCCAGACCAAGTTTGTCTAATTTTTCCTGCTATTCGTGATTTTTCATAGGTCCATTAATATTTGGAATTTCGAACTGAAATTTTGTAATTACATTTATGATTATGTGTCTGTATACCAAGTTTTATAATGTCAATTATCAAGAAAGTTATTGATACATAAATTGGATTCTCAGCCCTGCTGTTGTTTTTGTTGTTGCTTTGACTAGACACGATTCTAAAATTTGGTGACTCTACCTCTTATAGTCTCCGAGATATAGATGATTATACGAACAGCGTTTCCGAAAAACAAAAAAATAAAACAAACTTGTAAAACGCACTATGTAGGACATTTGTGGTGTACCCAATAAATAAATTCTAATCAACTTTCAAGGACAAGGGGACTTTTATTCTGTATGCCTTTGATAAACAGAATTTTTCTTTTTTCATGAAGCAAAATGTAAACAACACTACAGCTTTTTCCTTCGACCAAAAGTCTGTCTCGTTATCTCTAAATTACATGTACTATATGTATCCAGCTAATGAATTAAAAGTCTAAGTATTTCGATATCTAGTGTGCGCGAATCCTAGGATGACTTGATGTCAAAGGAAATGGATCAGTAACCAATATTTGTATTTACTTCTATTTAAATGAATGATGTACATACATATGTATACAAGTACATACATACATGTATGTACATACGTACATGCGTGTAATATTTATTACATGTGTACTAAGTATGTATGTACATGCGTGCATATAATGAAATATGACGTTTTGTGGCCCAACTCTTCTGTTTGAGCTAGCTGCTCTGAATTTCGCGATATCACACGGCTAACTGCTTTGGCCTGCACTGGCACACAAAAATTCCAGTACGTATGTATAAACATTATACATACATATGTAGGTACTATGTAGGTGCACACACTTTTTAATTTCGATTAGCTGCGGCAGTAAAGTTCAAGTAAAAGGCTACAAAGGAGACTGCGACGCGCGCAATGCAACGACAACGTCGCCGGCGACATTGAGTGCGACGTGTGACATGTGAAATGAGCAACTGAAATGGAAATTAACATTGAAAATGAAAATGGCACTCGCATCGGGTTCCGGTAGCGGTAACAGCAAAAGCAGCAGCGCGACGGCGTCGGTCACTCATCAACTATTTGTTGTTCTCTCGAAAAGGAGAGTATAACAAATTTCTCACATTGTTTGCATCCCGCGTTACATACATACATACATGTACGCGTACGCATGTTGCGCACTAAAGCTTGGCGGAATTAAGCCAAAAAGCTCGCTTTATGGAATTTAACCAATAGCTTCCTTGATTTTCGATAAACATGTATTCTAAATAAGAACTACTATTAAATTTATTTTTTAAATATTACCTAGCAATTTGTGATGGGGAGCCAACCAAAGAAGTAATCGATATTTACACTTATTTGTATGAGCAGTTTTGTGCACAATAATATTTTAGATAATATTCAACAATGAACTATTTGTATTATAAAGCTGAAACAGACAAGATCGATTTAATATTGAAACTGGGTTTGTTGAATACAAATAAATATTCGAGGGAATGTAAGTTTCGTCGTGCGTAGAAGGCTGGTTTATTTTATTTTAATTTTTTACAGAAGTGCCGCACACACAGAGCTTTGACTACGTACATATGGACATATGTATGTATGTATGTACATGTGTACATATGTATGTGTCTGTCGCTTTTTGTCTGCGAATCTCTCCTAGGCGTCACATCACATCCACGGCGGTCGATTGGCGACTGCCTATTCTATTTCACTGCGGCCGCCGTCACTGCTGTTGTTTGTCATGGCCGACTCTGTTACGTGCTTAACATGAAATTGTGGTTGATAAAGAATCGATAATGGGAGCAGACAAAATTGTTTGTGTGAATACCAGCCCAGTCGTCCACTATTCAGAACAAGTCGGGGTTGTACAGTTCAGAACCTACTTCCTTCCTGCTTTGATTTACTTGTTGCGCTTGTCGTCGGCTTCGCCATACACATACATACATATGTATGTCGTCATAAGACCTTTGCATGCATTGCCAACGTGCCTACATATGACATAAGTATCAACCATTTAACACTCACACACCCACACACAAGTTTTTAAGTCGCTATCGGCATATATGACCAGCCACGCACGCGGAGAGCTTTTACTTGAAGAGAGCACATCAGGCGCTCTGTTTTTTGTTAGTGCTGTCAACTTAAGGGTGGTTGGTTCTGTCTGTCCGTCAGTCTGTCCATCTGTCTGCGTCTGCCTGTGTCACGTATGGTTGTGTCATTCTGTCAATAACAACAGAACAGAACTAAATGCTTTACGTGGCAGCTTGGCTCAAGCTTTTGCCCTTACGGACGTACTGAAATAATCGAGCCAGCCTAGCAGTATGGATGTGGTGCACAAATCAGCGCGTAGGGTCTTGTATTAGACAAAAACCAAAAAAAATAAAAAACACATTTTGTACTTAATAAAATATACTAATCGATTCAGATTAATCCATTCTTATGACCTCAAGAAATTTTACCGATACCAATACATTTCACAAACCGTGGGAGGAACGAGAGATGTGGGCTTCCTTGAAAGTAGATAATTCTTGTAAACAAATAGGAAAGCTAAAGTCAGGTCAGCAAATATTTTTATGGCTATAACTTCCTGTTTAATCGGTATATCATAATGAAACTTGGTATACGGACACATAATCACTAACAGGGGGTATTTGCAAAATTTTAGTTCACAATCCCAAGAATTAGGGAAGTTATGGCTGGTCACTAATTGCGGGGGAGAGGGCGGGAGAGGAAAATTCCAAAATATACATTTTCTGCGTATTCACAAAAGGCATCTTGGAGTAAAATTTGGTGTACGTAGGATCTCAGGGACTATAAGAGCTAGAGACACCAAATTTTGCACAAAGATGCCTTATTGTGTGTGTACGCTGTGCAAGTTCGTTTTATTTTTTACCTCCCGCAAACCTAATATACTCTTGTACATTTCATGTACAGAGTATAAAAAGTTTCCTTTATAATAATTTAA